CGCAAACACAGCAGCCACCTCTTCACAGGTGGGGATGCCGGGTGCCCGGGGGGGGCCTGGCCAGGTCCCCAGCCAGGCTGACGCGCCCCTTCCTGCAGCCACCATCCCCCTGCACGGGACCAGTGAATCCTGGTACCAGGAGCTCAAGGCCGTGATCCAGGAGCAGCAGACGCGGCCCATCTGGACCTCCGAGGACCAGGTACCGGGCTACCGGGCTGGGCTTGGTAGGTGTCTGGGTCTCCCTGAGCCTTGGGGCACAGCCAGGTTCGGGGCCGGACCTGAGACGCGGGACTTTTGCTGCGCAGCTGGGGGCTCAGGCTGGGAACGGGGTGGTGGTCTCAGCTCAGTCAGGGTCCCTGCTGCCCGCAGCTGGACGGCCCCTCCGAGGACAGCCTGGACCTTCCTGGCCACGGCCTGGCCGACAGCTCCGCAGACCTCAGCTGTGACAGCCGGGCCAACAGCGACTACGAGGAGACGGACGGCGAGGGCGGCGTTTACACAGACGGCGAGGGCGGGCTCCACACGGATGTGGACGAGGAGCCCCCAGCGCGGGCCCTGGCCCGGTCCTCGGAGCCCGTGCAGATGGAGGAGGAGCCCCCAAGCCCGAGGGATCATGGGGGAATCCCGGCTCCCCAGGGTGCCCCGGTGAGCAGGGCTTGGCCGTGGTCCCGGCAAGGGTCCCAGATGGGACAGCGCATGGGACAGGGACACTCGCTGGGAGACCACGGTCTGAATGTGTGAGCCAGTGATCTTAAAGCTGAAAGAGCTTCCCTCAGTAGCCAGGCGTTGGTGGCGCACACCTGTAATGCCTGCACTCTGGAGGCTGAGGCAGGAGTATCACCACGGGTTCAAGGCCATCATGGGCTACATAGTGAGTTCAAGGCCAGCTTAACCTTGTCTCAAAAGCAAAACGCTGTCTCAAAGAAAAAAAAGAAAAAAACACCTAAAGTAAAAATCATCTGTAAAGCATGTTACACCTGATACAATGTAAATGCAGTCCAGACAGCTGTTATACTAAATTATTTAGGAATAATGGTAAGAAAAAAACTCTGCACCTATTTAGTACAGATTTTCTTTCTGAATGTTTTGGATCCATGGTTAGTTGAATCCATGCATGCTGAGGATGAGGGCAGAGTGCTCTAACCTCCATATTGTTTTCCACAGTTGGGACAAATGATAATGATCTTGATATCACAGGGTTGTGAAAATTCAATGTCCTTAGCCCAAGTCTTGGTTTTCTACAGTTGATGCTCAAATGCTTATTCAAATGTTTATTTTTCTAAGTGGGGCTGCCACTGGATATTCAAAGTTTCCGTTCCCCAGACCTTCTCTTGGTAAATATTCTGGCACTCTGGGAGACTGAGGCAGAAGGATCACAAATTCAAACTAAACCTGTGTAAATTAGCAAGACTCTATTACAAGATTAAAAAATACAAAAGGGCTGGGGTTGTAGTTCAGGGTGAGGGACTTGGGTTCACTCACCAGTACTGAAAGAAAAGAAAAAACCCAAAAAACAAACAAACAAAATACTATAACGTCATCGATTGGAATGAGCCTAGGATTTTTCAATGCCCAACCTGCTCAACTGTGCACAGCAGCTTGGTGAGAAGAGAAGTCACTGTCTCACCATCGCCTATGGGAATTCATTTAAGAACTCGAGCCAACAACTCTGTGTAACCCAAGTGTCTGCTGACAGGCTGGGAGAGTTCATCTAAGCCTCTCCTAGCCGCAATTTTCTCACTTAAAATTGTGAACGATCTGCAAAGGAGGGGAAGGCTAGGGCCGGGAGTTAGCTCAGTGGTTCTGCCACCTGCCTCACAAGCGCAAGGTCCAAGTTTGATCCGTGGTACAAAAAAAAAAAGGTGGGGAAGGCTTACGGGTTTACACTTACTGTGCCTGGGGGGGGGGCACAAACCTTCTCTCTCCCTGTCCCTCCAGGTGCACAGGCAGCACTTGCAGGGGCCGTGGCGCCAAGACAGCATGCGGTAAGGGCCTCTGTGCTCAGGGGTGGGGCCTCCGCCATTCCTGTGGCTCCAACACGGGCTGAGGAAGCGGCGTGGGTGGCACCAACCTGGGGCTTCTTGATGCTTGTGGCCCAGTGGCCACGACAGGCCCTGCCTGAACGACCCAGTGTCACTCATCTCCTCCAGCAGAGTCAGCCCCAGTTAATGGCAGGTGAGAGCCCACGTCTTCCCCCCGACACCTCTACTCTGACTTCCTGACCCCCAGGACCTATGAACGGGAAGCGCTCCGGAGGAAGTTTACCCGAGCCCGAGAGGTGGAGTCCTCAGACGAAGAAGGCTACGACTGGGGCCCAGCCACTGACCTGTGACCCCACCGGGTTTCCGGCCTGCACGGCCTCCCTTTGCCTCCCTGGACCCGAGACTCGGTTTCCCATATAGAACCCGGATCCCTCCGCCACGCCCACGGCCTTTAATAAACCGTGTTTTCACAGCACTGGCTTCCGTGGAGGAAGGGCCGTGGGACTGGATCTGAGACCGTGGTCACCAAATAAGCTTTTAATATTTTACACGGGAGAGCAGTGGGGCAGAATCCCGGCCCGGCCGCCGGGCGCGGCGCAGGGCTAAGGCACAGCGGCGGGGCGCCAAGGGATCACAGGTACACGGGCTGCTCCTGGCCAGTGAGCAGGCGGTAGGTGGCGGCCGGCATGGTCTTGATGTGTACCTCGTCCTGGGCCTCGGTGAGCAGCTCGATGATGCGGGCGTGCGGCGTGGCCACCACGCTCTGCCCGTTGATCTCGATGATGCGGTGACCCACTCGGACGCCCCCGCGCTACGGCATGGTCTTGATGTGTACCTCGTCCTGGGCCTCGGTGAGCAGCTCGATGATGCGGGCGTGCGGCGTGGCCACCACGCTCTGCCCGTTGATCTCGATGATGCGGTGACCCACTCGGACGCCCCCGCGCTCGGCAATGCCGCCCCGGAGGAGATTGCAGATCTGGGGGCACAGCGGGATGGATTCTCAGGAGCCCAGGTGGACAGCCCCGCCCACTGCCCTCCCCGTCCGGCCCAGCTCTCGGCCCCGCCCGCTAGGCCACACCCACTTCCCCCCCGGCCCCGCCCCTCACGATGCCATCTTCCACGCAAAATCCCAGCTGCTCCCTCGAGTGCAGCCGGCGGATGATGGCCGTGGTGACCGGCGGGCAGTGAACG